ATAATAAAGTGGTCAAAGACCAATGACTAAACAAAAAAGGAGATTTTTCTCAGTGGTAAACACAACTGTCTCAACTTTTCTGAGATGTGTAGCTGCCATAAAATGTAAAACTACCATTATTTTTTAAAGGTTCGAAATTTTTATTAAATGATCTTGAAGAATTCCCTTCTGCTTTAATTTACATTTTATACAACATCCCAACTGGGGTTGTATATTAAAATAACTTTCTGACATGGATGTGATTAGAAAACACTACTACACGAATAAAGACAGATATATATTATAAGGGACATTTAATATTGCAATTTATGAAAATGCAATAATTATTTTAGGTTTTTGAGTACATTAAAATATTGTTCACTTGATACTATAAATAAATGTCTTGTTAATTTTATTTCTGTCAGCAACAATGAGGTCAGTGATTTAGATGTGAAAACACTGCATGTTTTTCTAAAGAAATCCATCATTGGAAACTTCAGATGATGTTACTTTGAATCTAATACTGTATTTTATTAAAAGTAGCACCTGTTCATCTAGCCAATGTATTGCAAAGAATAAAAAGAAAGTGTATATTACCGTTGATTTCTTTGAAGCTTGAGCTCCTTCGAGTTGTGTTGTACTCCCCTTTAGTTTTAGCACTTAGCCGTTAAGTGGCTGTGTAAACTGTAGCCTATATACTATACAGGTTTGGGTTCCTTCCTGGTATTTTTACCCTCCTGACTCTGAAAGGACCTGACAGAAGAATATAAAACATTCAGTGGAGAAAAGCCATATGTGAAAATTATACTAATTTAAGTGTTTAGATGTTCAAATGGGCATGATGTGTTGAATTAAAGTCAGTTGATGTAACCCATAACTAATGTTGCTTGAAAATGTGAGTTTCCATTTTCCTGCAAGTACAAGAGTTTGAATATTTGAACGCTGGGAGGTTTCACTGCTTCTTATGTAAGAGCGGSCCCTAGTGGATCATCTGAGAAACACATTCGATTCAAACAAACAGTAAGCCACTAACATAAATGTTTAGCCAATTTCCTCTCTGCAAATTTTTGTTCACCTTATTTTTGCCATTTCAAAATAAAATTACAGAGGTTGTTCTGATTTGTTAAAAATCCCTGCAGCTGAGTCTTTTTAGCTGACTTTTCAGGAGCTGAAATTTGCAAAAACGGTCCCAATCATTTTGTGTTAATAGACAAGGAGGAGAGAAAAAATACATAAAAGGTGAATTATTATAAAAGCCTTTACTTGCATCACATAGACAAAGAGATAAAGCACCTTTGCAGGCACACACAAGACATGATATTAGGGTTTGTTTATTTTCCCCCATCCATCGGCAGGCAAATGAAACGAAGCACAGAAAAGTTCAGATATGTGACGCATCTCTAACACGCAGTTTGCGGCTTTCTCCAAACCTAGACACAACTTCGTTATCATGCCATGTCATGGTTACATTTAAACACATTTAAAACTAAGTGACAAGTGAGCACCATTGAAAGTCTAAACTTTTTAAAGTCACAAYCTGAAACCTCTATTATCAAAACAAACAAACAAAAAAGCCATATTGTGTGGCAACTAGAACTGCACTCTTCAGTAAGATGAAGTCCAAATAAATAATGAATCATCTATGAACACAGACATTTGAATATCACGGTTTGTTRGTGTTGAACATTTTCAAGGGAAACTATCTGGCACATTTATTACGGTTTTTTGTTTAGAAAGCTACAGCTGCTTTTAAATAAATAAAATGATCCCATCTGGCATGAATTATTATCCTCAAATATGTGCTTTGAAAAAAAGTTATTTTCCTCTTTGTAGATATGACTGAGAGGCAAATGGCTACTATTATAAGAATTTTTTTTTTTTTTTGCAGAACAGAGGAACGGCACCCTCACACAGAAAGAATTACAGCGAGGGTCATCTTTAACCTTCACTTATAAACCTAATGTTTAATCTCACATCATGATCTCATTTATTTCATCTGTATTTCATCTTTTTTTCTTTGATTATTCACAAAAGAATACATTTTATTTAACGCAAACTGGTTTTAGCAAACAAAATAAGTCTCCTTATAATAAACTTACTAAAATTCGTTCAAATTAACGGTGGTCTTTAGGGGACAAATTTATAAAAGCCTGGTTACTGGACACAACTTATAAAGTTAGCATCTCACCGCGCTGCGCGGGGTTCTTAACTTCCTCACGTGAGTTGCAGAGGAAGCCAGCGTGGTTTGAATTTTGAATATGTTCAAAACTATCATTTGTGCAGCAACTTTTTATTTTACTTCCTTCCTCAAAATAGTCTTAAAGTCACTGTGGGCGTCTCAAACCCGTCTGAATTGCACCATCAATTCTCCGACCTGTCCCCAGAGCTCCGGCTGCATTCTGACACCTGCACGACAGCATCTAAAATCCACACTACTGATAATCGAATGAATGGTCCAAATATGCTCATCTTTTCCTAATCTCAAGTGTGCATTCCAGTAGATTGAATTATAAATGCGGGGGCAGTGCGTGGGTGGAAAACAAGCAGAGGTGGACAACAAAATAATGTGCATGGAGACTCTTTTTAACGGCTCACTGGCCACTTGGTTGCAAACACTCAAAGGGAGCGAAATGGAAAACTCATATTTTCTCAAAATTTGAAGTCACCAACTAGCCTCCTAATAGTGTCAGTTCAGTGAGATACTACTTTAATTTTCTCTTTGCTGCCAAGATTCATTAAAAAAGACACAGAGTTGTGCTGGAAGAGACTTCATGACCTGCGCTTGAATTACTGCTCATCCAGGTGTTCCTGTGCAACTATGGAACAATAAAGACACGGGGCTTTTTACACGTCTTTCTCAGTGCTTACATCTGTATCAACTTGCCTATGAATGCAGTGTGATGAGCTGTCTAACTACCGGTGAGCACTGAGAACGCCTAGATGCAGTTGTCATCAGTCTCTCAGCAGTAGATAGTCTTTGACGGTCTCTGGTAGAGGCAGCTCCTTCACGGCRGTGGGAAGGAACTGCGCGCCGAGACTCTGCCGTACGGCACAGCGCGCCAGAGAGCGAAGCGCCGGCGCCTGAGTCACCATGCCGGTCAGCCTCGCCAGCAGCTGGGGRTCTTTGCTCAGCTCTTTGGGAAGGGTGCCGTCGGCCCGTCGGATCTCGAACCGCCCCGCCGCCCGACACAGCAGCTCCAGGCACTCCTCTTCCTGCTCGGTGCCCAGGCCCCGGGTCAGCAGGGCCACCAGTCGGGATATCGGGGTCTGGCCTTTCAGGTTAGTCACGTGGACCTGCGCACCGTAGTCTAACAGGACTCTGACACTCTCCAGGTTGCCCTTCATCGCCGCCCAGCTCAGAGGGGTGTCGTTGTTGTAGTCCCGGGCGTTGGGACAGGCGCCGCTCTCCAGCAGGGCCCTCACACACTCTGGGTTGTCTTTGAAGGCGGCCCAGTGGAGCGGAGTGTCCTTGTTGCCGTCCAAGGCGTTTGGCTGGGCCCCGTACTCCAGCAGCAGCTCCACACAGCTCTCATCCTTCTCCGCGGCGTAATGCAGAGCAGTGCGGTTGTAACCATCCAAAGCATTGACCTGACGGAGCAGGAAAACACACCCATCATTTTCTGAGAGAAACTAGAACTGGAACTGAATCTGAGAGCATTTAAGTTCACAAATAAAGTCCTGTACGAGYGAGGACACACATCTGATTTAGAAATGAGTAACTGCATGGTTTGTTGCATTGATTTATTGTAACAAAAATACATTTCTATGCCTAAAGAACCTCCTTACATCGATGTCATTTCTGCAACAAGGTGTTAATTTTGAATTTATTGCTTCACTAGTGCAGTGGTTCCCAACCTTTTTAGACTTGTGTACCCCCCGAGCCGTTTTGTCAAACCACTAGTACCCCTTCAGTCAAAAGTAATGATGATTCTCCAAATCTATAATGTACAACTGATTACTGAATGTAAATTATTTAACCCCCTAGAAYGTTCAGTTCTCAGGCATTTTATTCTTTTTAAAGAACGATAAAAGATAAAAACGTTGCCTTGAAAGTGAATAAGTAATTAAATAAATAAACCAGGTAACGGCAGCTGCAGGAAGCAGCAGCGTCCAAAACACATCAGAAACTTGCCCAAATGATCAAATTCCATGAGATTCTGCATTTTATACTGGATTCCATTTCGTGTCAAATCTGTGATTTCCGTGATGCGTTATATAACTGATTAAGGTGATGTTCTGTTTGTGTTTTTGTGTTCAGGGGGTTCTTTTGTTTTGTTTTGTATTTCTCTATATGCTGACAGTGGACTTGTTTGAAATTGATTTTATTTTTTAGTGAATAGGGGCAGATATTATAAGTTTATACTTCTTTCTGCTCCTTTTCATTCATGATTTTATTGTATTTTTTTGTTTGTTTTGTTTATTTTTGATTTTTGTATGACTTGTTTTTTATAGATTATTATTATTGTTTTATGAATGAATGAAATAAACACAATAATTGAATTGAATTTCTGCATTGCTATTTTTATTGATTTTTTATGCACCCCTGTAATATGCTTGCGCACCCCTGGTTAGGAAACACTGCACTAGTGAATGTTGTGAGCCCTACAATGAAAAAAAAAAAAAAAAAAAATAGAGAGAGATAATTGAACCAGATGTGACTAAAGGTAATTCAAATTTGCTTTTCTAATTGTGACTAATTAAATGAAGGTCAGCCAAAAATTTATTAATAGAAGTATTAAATAAAGTATCAACCAAAATTTAAAAAAAGTTGACGAATCATGTAAAAAGAAAAACTGGTTGTTTTTCTAATTGCCAAAATGACAACTATCCTCGATATGTTGCAATTTTGTGTAAACACGAAAGCAATAAAGAAAAAAAAAACTAAATACTCGTGTCTCCTGTTTCACTGTCCTTCTGACTATATTGTGTATTTTCTCACTTTTCAAGCAGCCGCAGTTCAAGATGACATTCATACTATCAGAAATGTCCAAAATGGACCTTAATCATCCCACAAACAGAAATCTGAACATCTTACCTCTGCACCTTTCTCAAGCAGCAGCTCCACACAGTCAGGATCAGCAACCATACACGCACAGTGAAGTGGTTTGAGTGTGCCATGCATCCGGTTCACGTCTGCTCCCTTAGAAAAACAGAATTTTTTTTYCCCTCACAAACGACACTCAACGCACACTTTTCCTTTTAGAAGCTGCCATACCTTTCGAATGAGATCCTCCACATTGTCATGAGGAAAGGATCGGATGGCTGCGATGGTGCGGATGAGTCGCTCAGACAAAGAGTACTTACTTTGAATGCTCTGCATGATGTACCACATAGTAGAGCTCATGTGTAACAGAGGACCATGGCACCCAGGCAGGGGTGACACTGCAGCACACTAAGGCACATATTTCAAATCAAACAAAAGGGTTAGACACAGCAGGTTCAGGGAACAAATAATATCAATTTAAAACATCGTATGAGTGTTTTTTTGTTTTGTTTTCTGATTTCACCCAGATAAACATCAGCCATTTTTGGTCAGAATTAGATATTACAAGGTCAGCATTTTCTCAGATATACACATTACGTTCATCAACAATAACCAAAGTTTTGATTTATTTTTGACACAATATGGGTAATTAATAAACATACATCTGGGGTTGGGGTAGTTAATCATTCTTAGTACAGCAACTTATTAATATTTTAGTAGTGATTTTAAGACTTTTCCCCACCACTTTAAATTCACATACCACAAATGTAAGCTGGCTGTGAGAAGCAAAAYGCAACAAAATAAAACAACTAATAAATGCAAAGTAAACACCAGTGTTATCAGGGGAAAAAAATCAGACAAGATAACCAATTTCCTGAGATGTCTTTTCTATTATGCCTTTTTTGTATTTTCTGAAATGTTTTGTTTCTGCATATAATTTACTTTTTTCTGAGTACTGTGCATTTTGTTCTTTATTTAGCCTGATTTATTTGCACAGAAAATAAAGGACCCTGTTGAGGTTACCTTTTGCATTTCATTACTGTCTGTAACACAACATGTAGCAAGAAAAGACAATTAACATCCTCATATACATTTCTTACTAATATTATTTTAATTTTGTATCGGTATAATTTTTAATACACCTATCTGTTTGCAAAGGCAGATGCTGCTTATACTGAACAGAAATGAAAATAACCACATAAACAAACCTATGACACGTCAACTCACACTTCAACACGGGTAGCARTTTTAACTTTTATGAATATAGTCTGAAAATGCAAAAGAGGCTGGTTTGAGGAGAACAAGCAGCTCTCCAGCTATATTTCATAGCATCCAGTTAGCTAGCTGCGAGCTAGCATTAGCGTCGAGAGAACAATCAATCGACAGCCGCACTCGTATCAAATGACATTACTTTCAAACACATGTGAACTACAATTGAAATGCATTTTTGTACAAGTCGATTAAAAAATGCTAGTCGAAAAATATACCTTTTAAAGTCCACGGTCGGCTTGGAGGTCTAGCTCTATCTGGACGGCTTTCTGTTCGGTTTAACATAAACACGAAACGTCACTCAGCCACGCCTTCGAGCTGTCAACGAAGACTTGACAGATGTTCCCGTCTGAACCGCAACTTCTTCGGTGTTTTATCCAAAGGTCAGCCTGTATCGGCCGGGTCCGAGAACACCGTCCGTACTTACATTCCCAATATGGGCATATATATATGGCGGCGGTAGCTCGGGCGCCCACCGGCAGAGGAACATTCCAGGAATACCTTCAAGTCATGTTCAAGAACCGACGAGCAACACGGGAAGCTATTTCCGGTGTTGTACCGATATCCGTCACCATGTTATGTTGCGACTCCAAGCTGGCCCAGGCGAACCAGCTTTCTCTGCCTTTGTAGGGGGGGGGGGTAGCTGAAATAGCAAAACGTAAGGTTATGAATATAACCACGGTTCCTTGAAGGAATGGAACGAAGTATACAACACACAGTTGTATATTGGACACACTCGCACTCGCGAGCCTGCTTCTTCTTCTTCTTCTTCTTTAGGTTTTAACGGCAGCTTGCATCCATTAATGTTGCACTACTGCCCTCTATTGACTCCTACGAACTACACCTCAGATTCCCAGAGCCCAGTGTTTTTTAAAAAACGAAATATCTTCTTTTCCCCCTCAATATTATTCAGTTGTTCGATTACCTTCTCAAATTTCAATTCCCTACTAACGCCTAGTTCCGTTTTTAATAATCTTTGGCTTGCATATTTCCCACATTTAATCAAAACATGTTCTACTGTCTCTATATCATCACACCATCTACATAAACCAGTAAGGTGCTTCCCCATCTTAAAAAGATTTCCATTTAGGAAACTATGCCCAGTTCTTACTCTATTTATAATTATCTCCTCCCTCCTGTTTATTCCTCTGATCCTTTCTACACTGACTGTATTTTGAATCCTAAATAAATGTCTTCCCTTTATTTCATTTTCCCACCCAACTTCCCATATCTTCTTGCTTTCTTTCCAGATTATACTT